TTTGCATTTTTCTTATAATGAGTAATCTTAAATATTTCTTCATATGTCTGCAGGCCATTTCTATGTCTTGTTGGGAGAGATGTCTATTCAGTTCCTTTTCTCATTTTTTTAAAATGGGTTGGTTAATTTTTATGTTGAGTTGCATGAGTTCTTTACCTATTTTATAATATAACTTTTTTACTAGATGTATAATTCACAAATGTCTTCTCCATTTCAATATGTAACCTTTACACTTTATTGATGGCTTTCTTCACTGTGCTAACGTGCTTTAGTTAGATGTAGTTCTACTTGACTTTTTGCTTTTTTTGCCTTTGCCCAAGGAGACATATTCAAAAGCTAACATTACTAAGAAGGATGTAAAGAGTTTTCTTTTAGGAGTTTCAGGTATTACAATTAAGTATTTCCTTCATTTTGAGTTCATTTTTGTATATGATATAGGAAAATGGCCTAATTTCATTTTTTGTATATATGTGTCTTGTTTTTACAACCCCATTTATTGAAGAGACTGTCTTTCCCCTTGTATATTTTGCCTTCTTTGTCATAGCTTAGTTGGGCTTATTTCTATTTTGCTCCATTGATCTGTGAGTCTGTTTTTGTGCCAGTATCATACTGATTTGATTTCTAGAGTTTTGTGATATAGTTTGAAATCAGGGAGTGTGATACTTCCAACTTTGTTCTTTCTTTTTTTTTTTTTTTTCCCAAGATTCCTTTAGCTATCCTAAGTCTTTTGTGAAAAATACCATTGGTATTTTAATAAGCATTGTAATAAATTGGTAGATTGCTTTGAGCATTGTGGGCATTTTAACAATGTTAATTATTTGAGTACATGACCATAGTATACCTTTTCTTTTATTTGTGTCTTGTTCACTTTCTTTCATCAACGTCTTATAGTTTCCAGAGCACAAGTCTTTTACTTTTTTGGTTACATTTATTGCTAGGTATTTTATTGTTTTAGAGTTAATTGTAAATGGATTTTTTTAAATTTCTTACTGATAACTCATTGTTTTTGTATAAAAAAACAACAGAATATTAATGTTGCATCCTGCTACTTTATTTATTCAAATATTAGTTCTAACAATTTCTTTTGAGATCTTTAAGGTTTTCTATAATATATTTACCTGCAAATAGTAAGAATTTTACTTCTTTATTTTCTGTTTAAATCTCTTTATTTCCTTTTCTTGTGTGATTGCCTTGGCTATTGCTTCCAATATAATGTGGAATAAGAGTAGAGAAAGTGTGCATGCTTATCTTGCTCTTGATATGACAGAAAAAGCTTTCAGCTTTTAACTATTGAGTATTATGTTCGCTATGGGTTTGCTGTACAGCCTTTAGTATGATAAAGCATGTCCTTTTTATAGCCACTTTGTAAAGTGTTTTATAATAAAAAGGATATTGAATTTTGATGATTCTTTTTCTGAATTTATTGAGATATCACGATTTTTCTCCTTTATTTTGTTGTTATGGTATAGCACATTGATTACTTTGTGGATATTGAAGCATCTGTAATTCCTGGAATAAATTTCGCTTGATCATGTTACATGATATTTTTAATGTATTGTATTTGGGTTGCTAATATTTTGCTGAGAAATTTTGCTTCTACCTCTATCAGGAATATTGGCCTATAATTTTCTATTTTAATAGTTTCTTTGTATGATTTGGTATCAGGTAACATTGGCCTCATAACTGAGCTTGAAAGCTTTCCTTCTTTGTTTCATAAAAAATAATTTTGAATTAGCAATTATCTGTGAATATGTCTGATCCCACACTTTTGTTTGTTGAATGTTTTATTGTTTGTTTTTGTTTTGTTTTACTTTTTGATTACTGATTCATTTTTCTTTTTATATGGAACTAGAGGCCCACTGCATGAAATTAGTGCACTGGGTGAGGGGTCCTTCAGCCCGGCCTGTACTCTCTCATAATCTGGGACCCTTTGGGGGATGTCTAACTGTCGGTTTAGACCCAATCCCTGGAGGCAAATAGGCAGTTGGACATCCCTCTCACAATCTGAGACTGCAGGCTCCTAACTGCTTACCTGCCTGCCTGCCTCATAGCCCCTAACCACTTGCCTGCCTGCCTGATTGGCCCTAACTTCTTCCCTGCCTGTCTGATTGCTCCTAACCACTGTACATGCCTACCTGATTACCAATAATCACTCACCTGCTGGCCTGATTGGCCCTAACCATTTGCCTGCTTGCATGCTTGCCCCTAACCACTTTGCCAGACTGCATGATCACCTCTAACTGCCTCTGCCTTGGCCCCTGACACTGGGGCTTCATCTGGAATGATGTCTGGAAGATTGTTTGGCTGTTGGTTGGAATTAGCATATTACATTTTTATTATTATAGATGCTAATCAGTACGTTCAAGTTTTCTGTTTCTTCCTGGTTTAATCTTAAAAGATTATATGTTTCTAGGATATTACCCATTTATTCTATTTTATTCATCAGTTTATTTTATTCATTAGATTTTCTGTTCTTTTACTTTGAGTTTTAGATTCAATATTTATAGATATGTATTATATGTATTGCCCTTTTATTGTTCATGTCTTCTTTCTCCTCCTCCTCCTCTTCCTTTTCTTTTTCCTTTTACTCCCCTTCTTCCTCCTCCTTCTTCTCCTCCTCTTCCTCTTCCTCATTCTCTTCTTCCTCTTCTTAAAAAAATCCCCTCAGCATTTCTTGTAGTACTGGCTTGGTGGTGACTAACTCCTTTAGATTTTTCTTGTCCGTGAAGCTTTTTATCTGACCTTCAATACTAAATGAGAACTTTGCTGGGTAAAGTAATCTTGGTTGTAGGTCCTAGCTCATCATTTCTTGCCACTCCCAACTGACCCACATAGTTTCAATCTCAATGTGCTTTCTTCTTCACTTCTCTAGTTGTAGGACTTCCATTAAGCCAGATTTCAGGCAGTTCTGAAAGATGGTTTATCTTTTACTTATAATTTTTATGTGGTTGTGGGAGGAGGTATATATCAGTGTTTACATATACTACCATCTAGGTTCTTTCTTTTTTAAAAAAATATATTTTATTGTTTTTGTACAGAGATGAAGGGAGAGAAATAGAGAGCTAGAAACATCGATGAGGGAGAGTCATCAATCAGCTGCCTCTTGCACACCTCCCACTGGGGATATGCCCGCAACCAAGGTACATGCCCTTGACCGGAATCGAAGCCCGGTCCCTTCAGTCCCCAAGCCGACACTCTATCCATTGAGCCAAACCTGTTTCGGCCCATCTTGGTTCTTTCTATTCTTCATTGTCTAGTTCATTTAAGTGTAAATTTAGATGATTTATTTGAGACTTTTCTTGTTTCTTGATGTAGGCATGCTGCACTATGAATTTTCCTCTTTTAACTGCTTTTGCTGCATCCTAATAATTTTGGATCATTGTGTTTCCATTTCTATTTGTCTTAAAATATTTTTATGTATACTTGATTACTTTATTAACCTACTGATTTTTTAGTGATATGTTATTTGACCTCCTGTGTTTATATTTTTTCTAACTTTCTTATTGTAATAGATTTCTAGTGTTTGTTTGTTTTTTAACATCAATAATGAGGAAGACACTTGATATGATTTCACTATTTTTAATATTCCTGAGACTTGTTTTGTGGCCTAATGTGTGGTCTATTCTGGAAAAGAATGCAGATGCACTTGAAAAGAATGTGCATTCTGCTGATTTGGGGTATAATGTTCTGGAGGCATGTGTTAAGTTCATCTTCTCTAATGTGTTGCTATGGCCAGTGTTTCCTTGTTGATATTACATCTGGATGATCTATTCAATGATGTGAGAAGGGTCTTACAATACCCTATTATTATCGTGTTACTGTCAATATCTCCCTTTCTGCCTGTTAATATTTGATTTAGGTATTTATTTGCTTTGTTGAGGTGTTTTTGACATAAATTGAGATGTTAAGGAAGCTTCAGAATTCTTTCACAGGATTCCTGCTGAGATTATTGACATCTAAAATGAATGGTTGTGAAGTAGGTGTTAGAAAAGATGTATGAAATGGAAGTGATTTCTAAAATGACAAATACATACAGAATATGAATATGTGTATGAATGAGCTAAAGTATGGGATGGTAAAAGACTCCAAATTCCCTCAAGGAATATGATGCTTATTATATATGCCTGATCTATAATTATCACATGCTGATTAAGTTTATTTGATTGAATTAAATATTAAACCACACAGATTATTAAAATTAGGAGATGTCTGATAAAGCATACTACCTAACAGCAACTAGTGCACAAGAAAGGTCTATAAGTTTTCTCTACTATTGTCAGCCAAGGCCCCTTTGCACAACCCCAAGCCCCAACTCCTATCAGCACCAGTTATGCTACTGATAGGGAGCTATGATATTATTAATCATTAACTGATAAAATAACCAAAAATATTAATATTTGAACATTTTTTGATGGTCAGAACATAAAAAGAGAAAAAGATAGGAAAACTAGGATTCACTATAGGGAGCTTCTTCTCTTAGTTGACTGTTAGGTAATGGCCTCATAACCCCAAATTATATATTTTTTCTGCCTTAGGTTATTTCACATTATAGACTATAAAATTTTATGAAGGCATTTAGAAAAGGAGAAATAGGGTCTGATAGAAATTAAAGAAAGAGAAGAAAAAAAGTTTATCTTATTGAAGTTTTCACAATTAAATTGCAAAATAGACTTGTAGCTATTTTATTTTACAAACTGTTATTTTGGTTTCTGATAACACACTCTCCCTCCACACACACACACACACACACATGCACATACGCTCACATACACACACTTTAATTTTCCAGATATGCTCAGAGATTTCTTTATGAACCCAAATGCTATAATAATAGCACATTTAAAAAATTAAATGATAAAATAATTAAAGCATGGATTTCTTATTTAATTTAAATTTTAATTTAATTGAATAATAATGATCAATGAAAATACAATATGATCATACTTTTAAATTTTATGGGTCTTACTTTTAATTCTAATTTCTAACATTTATTTTTCAAGGAAGCTTACAAGTTCACTATCATCTGAGCAAGGAAGAAAGCCATGTGTTCACCATTGAGGTAGAGAACTTTGCTAATAGAAGGATGCACCACTTGAAGATTAACCGAGAGGGAAGAGAGCTTGCCATTCAGGTAACTTATTTTCCTCTTTTTATGCCTTGGATGCACAAAAACAGTTTTCTGAGCTTCTATCCCAAATCAAGTATGAAACCAAGTTCTGGAGATACATATGAATTACTTTTGGGCTCAGCCTTTCAGAAGATTGAATCATGGTTCTCAGAGTGTTGCTGCACCCTTTCATCCAACATCAGAATCACAGGGGCCTTGTTAGAAATGCAAATTCTTGGGCCCTACAACAGGTCCACTTAATTGGAAACTTTTTTGCAAAAGAGTCAGCAGGTGATTCTGATGCCTACCTAAGATTATAACCCCTGAATTGTAGTAGAATGGGAAGACATATAAGTGAAGTAGAAATCATGAGAGACTGCAATAGCTCAGACAGAAGTGTGCTCAGGTGAAATGAGAGCATGGAGGAGGGCACTGGGCATCAGTACTCAGTTCCTGGGTGAAGTTAGGACTAAAGTGTGCCTTGCAGGTTATTAGCAATTGGCTAGATAACAAGAGAGCCAAACATTCAGGCAGAGAATCTATGTTAGCACTGGCAAAGTTGTCCAGAAGAGTATAGTATGTGGCCCTGGCTGTTTAGAGTGTCAGCCCCATGGACCAAAAGGTTGTGAGGTTGTGGGTTCAATTTCTAGTCAAGGGCCTGTACCTCGGTTGTAGGTTCAATCCCAGACATTGGTCAGGGCACATGCAGGAGGCAATAAGTCTCTCTCTGTGTCTCTGTCTTTTCTCTCTCTCTCTCTCTCTCTCTCACTTTCTCAGTCTTCCCATCCCTCTCTTTCACTCTATAAAAAAATCAATGGTAAAATATATTTGGGTGAGGATTAAAAAGAAAGTATAGTATGTGGCAGGCACTCCACATACTGCATAAAGATCATACAGGAGAGGATTGAGAATTGGCAGAGTCTACATCATCCTTTCTAGAGTCAGGACCTGAAGTTAACCTTTAAATCTTCCCAGCAGTCACCCCTTATTTGTTTTAATCCATCCATTTTTTTATCTCTAGGTGATCATTTTAAGCCTCCTCATTTTTCCTATACCACCAACAATCTTAACTACATGTTTATTCCATATTCACTCTCAGCAGATTACATTTTTCTTCTTTCTTATGAAAAAAATTTAGCATTCAGAAGGTATATGCTCACCATCACATTTACCCAACTACCTGCATCTGTGTCTCTATACTCTTTCTGTGCCTTGCTGTTGAATATGGCCCTAGCTAAGGCCTGATCCAGCACTTGTGGGCTAAATGTCATATCCTACTTAGAAACATTCCTTCAGCATTACGCCCTTTCCTTCTCTTTTCAACATTTACCAGCTCTATGGGATGGCTTCCCAAAGCATAAATCATGCAAATACTATAATAGACATGTGTTTGTTGTTCATAATTTTTATCTTTACTTTTTTATTCTTCCTCTTCTCAAAGAATATCTTTCAGCATTTCATATAATATGGGTTTGGTGGTGATGAACTCCTTTAGCTTTTTCTTATCTGTGAAACTCTTTATTTGACCTTCCATTCTGAATAACTTTGCTGGGTAGAGTAATCTTGGTTGTAGGTTCTTGTTATTCATTCCTTCGAATATTTCTTGCTACTCCCATCTGGCCTGCATAGTGTCTGTTGAGAAATCAGGTGACAAGTGTATGGGTGCTCCCTTGTAGGTAATTAACTGTTTTCTCTTGCTTCTTTTAATATTCTCTCTTTGTATTTTGCTCTTGGCATTTTAATTATGATGTGTCTTGATCCTTTTTGGATTTCTTTTATTTGGGGTTCTGTGCACTTTCTGGACTTGTAAGTCTATTTCTTTCACCAGGTGGAGGAAGTTTTCACTCATTATTTCTTCAAACAGGTTTTCAATATCTTGCCATCTCTTTTCTTCTGGCACCCCCATAACTCTGATGTTGGTACATTTGAAGTTGTCCCAAAGGCTTCTTACACTATAACTTTTTGGATTCTTTTTTTTCTTTTTGCTTTTCCAGTTGAGTGTTTTTTGCTTCTTTGTATTTCAAATCTTTTACTTGATTCTTGAATTTCTCTAGTCTGCTGTGGGTCTCTGTATATTTTTTTTATTTCAGTCATTATATGTTTAATTTCCAGTTGGTCCTTTTTGATATCCTTGACCATCTGACTAAATTTATCGGCCTTTTCTAGGAAACTTTTGAGAAACCTTATAACCATGGTTTTGAATTCTATATCCAGTTGTTTATTTTCCTCCATTTCTTTTGTTTGTGATCTGTTACTTTGTCTCTGCATTTTTGCTGCTTCCCTGAGTTGGTAGGGTAGCTTGTGTGTGCTAAGTTTCCTATATGGCCCAATGGGTCAGCCTCCAAAATCACCTGAGGTGGACACTCTTGGTGCACTCCTTTGTGCTCTATGTGTACAGCCTTGCTGTAGTTAAATCTTGATTGTTGTTGGTATCACTGGGAGGAATTGACTTCTAGGCCAATTGCCTATATGTATCATCTGCGTCTATACTGGGAGACCTGTGCTGGAGATAGTCTTATAGGACCAGATTTGCAAAATTGCAAAAGCCCCTGTGCTCAGCTTGGAGGGGGTGGAATCACAGGGCTGAGCAAACAGTCTTGGTTTCTCGTCAGCCCTGCCCATGCACACGCGTGTCTCCAGACCTCTGCCTTCTGTGGCTCCTCTGAGTTTCCGCCTGACAGTCCAGATTTCCCCAGGCTTGCCTGGAACTTGGGTTCAGTGCAGTTGGACCTGGGGTTCAGTGCAGTCAGGAGCTTCTGATTGCCTTCCACTAGGGAGAGCTAGTGGCAATCTCAGCAGTCTGTCTTGTCTGTGTGCACACATGTGTGCACCTCTAGACTCTGCCCACCATGGCTTTCCCGAGTCTTTGAGTCTCCGTGTGCCTTTCTCTCTACCTGACAGTCTAGACTCCCTTCCGTATGAGCCTGGGTCCATGGTGTTTTGCCAGGAAATAGAGTTCAGTGCAGTCAGAACTGGGGTTCTGTGCAGTTGAGGGCTTCCTTCCCTCTCCCACCAGAGAATGCCAGCTAGGCATTCAGCTGCCCTTCCTCTTTGTGCCTGTGCCTCAGTCCTTTGCAGTTCCTTTGATTCTCAGTGTGCTTTCCTCTTTCTTTGTAGTTATAGAATTCCCACTCAGCCAGCTTTCCTGTTCATTCTTTCTTTTAATTGTAGTTTTGAAATTGTTGTGCAAGACAGCAGTATAGGTGTTTATCTATGCCACCATCTTGGTTTCTCTCCTCCTCCTTCTTTAGAATTCCTAACTTCCACAAATGAAAGACACAAACAGGAAAATTAGAGAATTACAAAGGGTATTTCCTTTTCTTCTCCCTCTAAAAAATTCCCACCAATCAATTAATAGGCAATGATAAGCACATAGTGGTTAATGAAATACAATTTCCAAAGCATTGAAAGGAGCAGAGAGAACTAGAGGCAGAGACATTTTTTCTTTTTTAACTTCAAATCCACTTTTTTTAACCAGTAACATAACATGCTGGCCTCCCTGACACTCTCCCCTTCACTCTCTATCCCTTCTTCTTCCTGCCCATTTAGAACAAACTGCTCAGTAAAATCAGAAAAGGGGAGACTATTCTACTCCTCCATTTCTCTCCACCACCACCACTGTCCCCCATCCCTCACCTCCACTTGGCCTGTGGTCTGAGGGTCTCTGGCAGCACTCAGAACCTGTTAGAGAGAGAAGCAAGCAAGACAGATGCATTCAGTACCCGATAGCAGATCCCCCATTCTCCAGGCCTGGACTTATTCCTACTCCTCTCTTCTGTTTCTGATGATAGGAAAAAGACCTTGAGGGCTGGGTCTGCAGCCAGAAGCAAGAATTGCTAGTGATGTTTTGAGGATTTTAATAGGATTAGTGTGTTTTAAGACAAGTGCTTGCAGAAATGGCTGATTAGGGAAGTTGAACTTTAACCTAAAATGCACTTATGACAGTAAACAGATTAAGCCAGTGCCCAAAATGCCAGAAAAACAACAAGCTGTAGATGAGGAGGTGCCAGGAATTCTTGAAACCAAGTATCTAATTGCTTCTTTGGAAAGATGAAGATCTGCAGGTCAAGAGAGGTATCCCCAGAGTTAAACAGACCTGGGTGTGAATCCATGCTCTTTACTGATGCTATGTGTCTTGGTCTAGCTATGAGTCTTGGACTCACCTCTCTGAGCCTCAGCATAGTTACCTTTAGAAAAGGGGGGTGCAGGTAGAACTAAGTGCAGTCAGTTCTCATAAATATCATATGAAAGAGCAGAGCTAAGGAACCAAGTCTGAGGCCTCACACCTTGGCATTTTCTTCCCTTTCTCATCTCAGTTAGTGACCTCCAGATTCTGAGTTCAGTCAAGCTGCTCAGCCAGGTGACAGACCTGAGCCTCTGATTGTAATTAAGAATAAAATGTGTTGAACTAGAAAGTAACAATGAAAAAAGTCTAACACAAAAATGCACTTCCCACTCAATATTTAAATGATGCCCTGGGCCATCTCGTACATATAGAATTCCTCAGAATGAATGTTTGTGGTACTCCCCTTTTTACTGCTTTTTACCGCATGCATTTCCTACATTTTTCACATTGGTTACAGCTGAATTGGTATAGTTTTCAGGTGCCCTCAGCCCATGTCCTGCCTCAGCCCATGTCCAATACTCCATCACTAGCCTCGTGTCTTTTGATTCACTCAACCTTCCTCTCTAAACCTCATTTTTCTAAAACCCCTTTAATTGCCATTTTCCTCCCTCTCTCTTTCCTTAGCCATCTGTTAAGTCCTTACAAAGCAGAAGAGAAGGATGGGAATGACTCATGTACTTGAATAATTGTCTTTCCCATGTAGGACATTTGAGCATGGGCCCGTCAATGTCCAGGGAACCTGTGGAGGAGTTGAGGGCAGAAGGCAGGAGAATCTCAGCTGAAGCTTTATTTCTCCAAATTCTGCTGCTGTTTTCCACTCAGCAGGAAATCCCCACTCACCTTAGCCTCCTCCCAACCTGTATTATGGAGGAGGACCCCTGCCCCTGCTGGGAGGGGTAGTCCCAAAGAACAGAGGAGGCAGGTGAGAGCTCTGAGGTAGCATAGGAAGAGAGCATATTCAGGGCAATCTGAATCTATGGGCTTATTTAACCACTCAGCAAGCCTGTGCTGGGAATCATTTAGCTTTTTTTTTTTTTTTTAGTAGACCCTTTAGAAGACATATATGGATAAGATATCCATAATCTCAAAGAACCAATAGATTATTGGAGAGGGTGGGGAGAAAAAAAGTTGGTCATTATGATGCAGCGTAATGCAAAGTTAGAGCTCTGTGCCCTTTGGGAGCAGACGTTGTTGATGCACCTTGTTTCTTTCCCTGCAGGTGGATGAGCAGCTCCGATTCAACTATAACTTCTCCCCGGAAGTGGAGTTCAGGGCTGTGCGCTCACTCACCTTGGGCAAAGTCACAGGTCTGTACTCTGATCCACTGGGCTTTGTTAAAACACATGAGTGAGCCAATGATTTTCACCAGGACAGTATGTGATTCAAATCTAGAACCAAGATTTCTGGAACGGGAGAAGCTCTGATATATGTGTGAAGGGTTGGGAATTGGCATTTGCCTCTGTACTAGTATTACAGAATCTTGAATAGGATAAATTAACAAAAAACACTAAGTGATTGTTAACCTAATTTAGAATTAATCTATTAATTTAAAAGGCTTACTTAAATTTTTACTTAAATTTATTTAATTTTCACCTAAAGACATTGAGAATTTGAAAACCCCAGTTATTGCGTTGCTCAAATCCTTAATCTCTTTACTAATTTATCAATTGAAAAGGGATTGAAATATCTTACTATAATTGTGGATTTTCTTTTATTCTACTGGAAGTTCTATGAATTGTCATTTTTATATTTTCTGAAGGTATTTATTAAATGCAGGGGAGTTTAAAACTTTCCAGTGATTTTAATGATTTTTTTAAATTACTGGCATTATTTTTAAACTTTAATTTCTCTTTGTAAAAAAATCTACTTTGTTATTAATAGTCCCATTCAAGTTTCACTTAAGTTAGTATTTACCTGGACTATTTTTTCCATATATTTTCTGTTAATATTTCTTTTTCTAAGTCTCATGTATGATCTTATGAAAAGAATAGAATTCAATTTTGCAATTTATCCAATCTGACCATCAGTTTCATAAGTTGGCAAAAGTAAGTCCCTTTACATTTTGGGGTTACTTATTAAGGTTGAATTTGCTTCTGCCTTTTTATTTTCTACTTCTTCAACTTTTCCTGTGATTCTATCTTGTTTTTTTTTTTTTTTTTTTTGTTTGTTTTGTTTTGTTTTTACTCTCAATCACAGTACATTGCAGAAACAATAACCAGGGAGATTTTAAGGAGGGATGAATTTAACACAGGAAATAATTTGTTTCCAGAATTGTGGCAGCTCTTCTGGTGTGGACTCTTGTGAGTCTTTCAAAGTGACTCCCCCACATGTTTAAGTTGATTAACAGGGAGCTGTCACCAATGAGGACATCATCAATGCCAGCCTGAAGACCAGAGTCCACTGTGACCTGACACTCCATGTCAGTTTCCGAGAGGAGAAGAAAGAGGCCTGTGAAACTGGTGGCAGAGGACACGTCATGTGCCATGACTTCCTGGGGCAGTAAAAACAGTTGAGAAAGCAGGACAGTGACTCTGGTCTCACCGTTTCACTCAGATTCATAAATTAAATACTTTGATTTTTGGAGAATAATGTGCATCCAGAAATCTAGTTTCAGTTAGGTCTTAAAAGTATATATTTTAGTTTCCAATGGCAGTTGAATGAACCAATCAAATGACTAAACTCAAAGTTACATTTCATGTTTATTTCTTATTCCATTATTTCTTTTTATTAATTAGTATTTTAGGTACACATTGCTATTTTTGTTTTATCAATGCAGTCAGTAATCTACTTGTTCTTCATTCCTTCCTATATTTCTGAACACTCTACTTACCAGGTTTTCTCTTAATTTTTCTATTGTTTGCAAATATAGTTGAAATTCAATATTACATTAGTTTCTGGTATACAGCATAGCAGTTAAACATTTATATAACTTATGAAGTGATCCTCAGTAAGTATAGTACCTACCTGGCACCATAGATAATTATTGCAATACTTTGTACTAGATTTTCTAAGCTATGACTATTTTGTAACTGCTAGTTTGTAATTCTTAATCTCTATCCTTTTCACCAAGCCCCAATCTGACAGCCTCCTCCAACCTGGAAGCCTTCTATTTGATCTCGGTGTCTATGAGTCTGTTTTTGCCTAGTTTGTGCATTTATTTTGTTTTATAGTTTCACATATAAGTAAAATTATACAGTATTTTTCTCTGACTTATTTCATTTAGCATAATATTCTCTAGGTCCAGCCATGTTGCCATAAATAAAAAGATTTCATTATTTTTTATATCCTAGTAATATTTAATTATATTTATATTGCATATTATCTTTATCCAGTTATTTGTTGATAGACATTGAGTTTGTATTCATTGCTTGGATATCTATACTAATAAAAAGGTAATATGCTAATTAGACCAGACATATTCCAGATGTCCTTCCAGACAAAGCAATGTTGGCAGGGGCCAAGCCAGAGGCAGTTAGGGGTAATCAGGCTGACAAGAGGAGCAGTTAAGGCAAGATAATACCAGCAGTGGGGAGGAGTTAGGGGATTATCAGGCTGGCAGGTGAGTGGTTAGGAACCAGTCGTCCCAGAGGGATGTCCAACAGAATCTTTAGGGTTTCATATATATATATATATATATATATATATATATATATATATATATATATATAGTATCATGATATCTGCAAATAATGACAGTTTTATTTCTTCCTTTCTAGTACAGATATCTTTTATTATTATTCTTATTTTATTGATGTGGCTAGCACTGATAATACTATGTTGAATATGAGTGTAAAAGTGTACATTCTTGTCTTATTCCTGATCCTAAGTGAAATGCTTTTAGTTTTTGTCCATTGCATATGATTTTAGCTGTAGGTTTGCACATATGGCATTTACTATGGTGAGGTGTTTCCTCTAGTTCCATTTTGCTGAGAGTGTTTATTTTAAATGGGTGCTGACATTGACAAGTGCTTTTACAGCATCAATTATATCATCAGAAAACTTGTATATTTTATCTTGTTTATGTGGTGCATCACTTTAATTAATTTGCAGATATTCAACCAATCTTGCATCCCAGGAATAAATCCCACTTGGTCATGCTGTATTATCTTTTTAATGTGTTACTGAATTTGGTTTACCAATACTTATTCATAATTTTTGCATGTATGTTCATTTGAAATATTGGCCTATAGTTATTTTTATACTGTCCTTGGTTTGGGAGTCAGAGTAATGCTAGTTTTATAAAATTAGTTTTGAAGACTTCCCTCCTTTTGAATTCCTTGGCATCATTTAAAGATAGGTATTAATGCTCCTTTGACTTTTTAGTAAAATTCATTTGTGACATCATCCAGGACTATTCCTTAATCTCCCTCCCACATTACAGCCATCAAAATGTGCTCTGCATGTATAAGTTTGTTTCTATTTTGTACAGTTATTTATTTTATTTTATTCTATAGATTCTACATAAAAATAAATAATATGGTATTTGTCCCTTTCAGTCTGACTTATTTTACTAGTAGTTAGCATATTGTTGCAGATGGCAAGATTTCATTATTGTTGCAGATGGCAAGATTTCCATATTGTTGCAGATGGCAAGATTTCATTATTTTTTATAATTGATTCCTATTCCACTGTGCCTATATACTATCTGTTCTTTATTCATCTATCAGTGGACACTTAGGTTGCTTCCAATTGTAAATACCCAGAAGTGGAATTGCTTGGTCTTTCTTATGTCTTATTATAGCTTTTTATAAAGTCTATTATGCCTGATATAAGTCTGATATAAGTACTGTTTCTTGAGCTTTTGTGCCTTTTTCATTTTTATGAAACATAATTTTCCATTCCTTTTCTGTCAATCTCTGTGTGTGTCTTTTTATCTGAAGTAGGCCTATTCTCTACAACATATGTGCGAATCTTCTTTTCCTATTAATCCTGCCACAGTATATTTTATTGAAACATTTATCCCATTTGCATTTAAAGTAATTATTGATAGGTATGCAGTTATTGATATTTTATTCATATTTTATAATTTTCCTTTTTTTTCTTAAAGAAGTTGCTCTTTTATTTGCTTTAATACTCATTTGCTAGTGATGAACTCCTTTAACTTTGTTTTTCTTAGAAGCTCTTCATCTCTCCTTCAATTTTAAATTATAGCTTTTCTGGATAGAGTATTCTTGGTTATAGGTTCTTGTTTTTATCACATTAAATATTGTGTGCCAATCTGTTCTGTTCTGCAAACTTTCTGCAGAGAAATCAGCTGACAAGTCTTGTGGGTGCTTCCTTGTAGGTAATTAATTGATTTTTTCTTGCTGCCTTTAAGAGTCCCTCTTTGTCTTTCACTTTTGGCATTTTAATTATATATCTCGGTGTGAATGTTCTTGGGTTCATCTTTGTGACTGTGTGTTTCTTAATTTTGTTTGTGTTTTCTTTGCAGGTTAGAGACATTTTCTTCTTCTTCTTTTTTTTTTTTTAAATCTTTATTGTTCAGATTATTACAAATATGTTTCTCTCCCCCTGCTCCCCAATTGCTCCCCTCCACCAGGTTCCCACCCCACCTTCTGCCCTTTCCCCATCCCCCATTGTTCTCATCCATAGGTGCACAGTTTTTGTTCAGTCTCTTCCCACATCCCCATCTCCCCTTTTCCCCAAGAATTGTCAGACCACTCCCCTTCCATACCTCTGATTCTATTATATTCACCACTTAATATTGTTTATCAGATTTTTTAATTCCCCTGTTTTTTTAGTTTCACTTGTTGATAGTTACGTATTTGTTGTTCATAATTTTTATATTTACCTTCTTCCTCTTCCTAAATAACTCCCTTCAGCAATTCATATAATTCTGGCTTGGCGGTGATTAACTCCTTTAGCTTTTTTTATTTGTGAAACTCTTTATCTGGCCTTCAATTCTGAGTGATAGCTTTGCTGGGTAAAGTATTTTTGGCTGTAGGTTCTTGCTATTCATCACCTTGAATATTTCTTGCCATTCCCGTCTGGCCTGCATGGTTTCTGTTGAGAAATCAGCTGACAATCATATGGGTGCTCCTTTATAGGTAACTGCTTTTTTCTTGCTGCTTTTAATATTATCTCTTTGTCTTTTGCTCTTGGAATTTTAATTATGATGTGTCTTGGTGTGGTCCTCTTTGGGTTCCTTTTGTTTGGGATCCTGTGCGCTTCCTGGACTTGTAAGTCTATTTCTTTCTCAGGTGGGGGAAGTTTTCTGTCACTATTTCTTCTAGTATTCTTTTGGTATCTTGCTCTCTCTCTTTTTCTGGGACCCCCATAATTCTGATGTTGGTTTGCTTGAAATTGT